AAAAGGAACAGGAGAAAACACTTGAGCTCCGTCAGATTACAACCAACAGAACAAGTCAACAGCATCATGAAAATTGATATGCAGAGAAAAACTATACAGCGTGTTTCCTCATGTATACCGCAAAAACATTTTAGTTCTTAACTTTAGGCTTTTTACCCTTAAAAAAGAAACACATCAGTCAGTTGGTTAAGATAATCCCACTTGTTCCTAGTGCAGTTTGCCTTGTTTCAAGATTTTGTCCAGATATGAATATCTTCAAACAAAACATGAACAGGCAGATAGCTGCACTACTACCAAGAAAGTCACGCTCGATCGTAGAAGATTGCTGAAACTCGCATTGAAGTTTGTGTCAGAAAGAAGTAAAAGAATCTTTACTCGTTGGTTGATTTATTGATTTTGCTTCTTGTAAGAAAATAGGTTTTTACTATTTAAGTAGGGTTGGCCAAACATTGAATTTTCTTTGCCAGTGTGTTCCACTGTAATTGTTTGTCTAATACAAACAGAGGATTAAATTCCATGATGCCAAGTTTCAGTCTTTGGATCCAGCTTTTTGCTGTCCTTAATTTCCTGTAACATGGTCTCAGGCATACAGCCAACTTGTCTGAATTTCCACCCCTTCAGTGATAATTTTTGCATTATTTGCATTTTTATATTTACATGGCTTCATGCTAAAAAAAGACGATGTCTGACTAATTGCTAAAACACTGGAGCTCATCCTCAGTCTTGTGCGTACAGCGCGATGTGAGTAATGACAGAGGAGGAGAGTTGAGTTAATGCCCACCTGTCAACAAGTCTTCTCTCTAGTAGATCACTTGTGCCTGGCTAGATGACAGTTGCAGGCAGTTTCTGTCATACTTGTGATTGCTGCGTCTGTTTATAGAGTGGCTGGAAGACAGTCGATCTAGTTGGGATTCATGAGAAAAAATTTTGGGGGAAAAACATCGCCGTGTAGATAGGCTGAGCCTGAGTCTGAGCTCTCAGTGAATTACATGGTCTGTGATTGTTTTTGTCTTGTGAGTAAGGGCTGGGATAAAACTTTTGAAGTTTCCATCTCAAAACTGTTGCGTTTTAGTTGCCTACGGTTCATTCACATGCTGTCATTGTAGTCATTGTCTTTGAGGCTCAAAAACTATTTATATGAACTTTGCTAATTTGCAAACGTTAGCATGCAAGCTGAACTAAGATGGTGAACATGGTAAGCAATATTTGTACCATATAAGCTTAACTTAAATGTTTTTTGTTGCCTAACCTTAACCATGCTATACTGTGTTTGCTATGTGTTGAAATTGTAGAAATAGCTGATGAAAAATGTTGCCATTGAACATTTAGAAACATAATCCAGTTTCACAGAATCCTCCAAAATAAGCATTCTGTCTTGCAAGTTGATTGCGATTCAGTGCAGAGACTCTCCTGAAAGACAGATGATGAGGTCTCATAAAGACCCTGGGGGAGGTGCTTGCCTGCGATTCGTATCTGTGTGACCCTATTAGCAAAGAAGCAATGTAGGAGCATTACCTTGTGTGCTCATTACCTGTGGGTCATCTGCCTGCAGGGGGCCAGGGTCAAGGGATATATCTAATCTGGAACTAAATACATCTTGTACAGTAGAACACATTGAGAGGTGAGTGAAGCAAGTTCCCAGCGACCATCATTCATATGAACCATCTTTTACTGATTGAAAAAAAATGTGATAGTCCATAATTTACCTAATTTCAAAATTGGTCTCTATATTAGGGTGTAATACAGTAAAATACTGGTACCTTGTCCAGGTAGTGGCAAGTGACAGCCAGTGAAGATCAACATGTTGATTAAGTGTCAAATATTTACAGCCACACTCTGAGCTGTGTTGCAGAAAGAAAGGACTACATAAAACCTGAAATCAGGCTGTGGATTGAAAGATTAATTCTCTGTAGGGATTGATGTTGTCAGTTATTTTGGTAATAATTGTAATAAAAGTTAAAACTATAACCATTTCTATCTTTAATTAAGATATAGATTTTTCGTCCCCTTTTCCAAAGTATGTCATAAAAACAAAAATGTAATTGATTAATTTCTTTTCCCTCTGGCGTCTGCTTTAAAATTTAAAGTGAATTATATTGCAGGAAGATCCACTTTGCTTTATAGTTCAATTCAGGAACATTTTAAGACATTATGAAACACGCTTTATGTTATTTGTGTCACTAAACCTATATGGAATTGTTCGCTATTCTGTACACTTTGCTCCCACCCTATTTTTTCTCTGTTTTACGTCTTGTGGCTTTTTGACCTTGACATATACTTTATGATGTTCATCTGAAATTGAGTGAATTTGACACAATTATGGCAGCCAATGGCATGAACATTTAAGAGCTCTCTAGGTATTGCTCTTTTCCCTGAAACCACATTAAAAAATGAAAGTGAAAACAAAGGGAGAAGTCGACTGGCATGTGGTTTGCTCTTCTGCTGCCACCCACTCAGTCCCGTGTAGCTTATGGGTTTGACCTCAAGCCGTGTGGTGAGCTTTTACCATACAAAGTCTTGTTTGAATAGAATGCTGAAAGTCAATCTCTCTAACACACACACACACACACACACACACACACACACACACACACACACACACACACACACACACATTAAAATCAATGATGTTTAAACAAAGACTATTGCATACACCTTTTGCACTTCAGATTTGTTTTGTTATGACTTGTGTAACTGACCTTGCTCTGCCCCTTGTTTCTCTGCACTCAGCACATGTTAACAGCTTTGACCATGTGCCTCAAACATTTTTGCAACCTTAAACCTTTTTGTGTGGTCATTAACAAGTTAACAGTGAAAGTTTGTGGAATCAGGATATTTGACCCTGAGCACTGTAAATTGAGTTTTTTTTCTAAATAAACTTTTGGGAAAAACCTTCAGCCCTTAACGCAGCTATAATCAATATTTTTATATTAACAATAAATCACACGACTACCTGCATCTAAGGATGTCACTCATAATTATAACTTGCCTTTGCAATTGCTCTTTGTGAAGCTTTATAGTGCCTTTCAGCTCATTATTTTGATTATCACTAGGCCTTCTTCTTTGGATTAGGCAGATTAGGCGCTACAATGGTGTATTGCTACTATACTGTTACTTTGACAGTTATTTATGTTTTTATATAGTCCAATACTGTGGACTGATGTTCTCCTGCTGTTCCCAGGTCTTTAAACAGCTTCCTCCTTTTGAATTTAGAAATTGTACCATAATGTGACATGTAAATTTCTTCTTGTTAAAATGGATTTTAGAAAATTGCTATTGAAGAAAGTATCATTTAGGAACCGATATCAAAATCAAGGTATTGTACCGTTATAGAAATTATTTGAACGATACACAGCCCTAATTATCAGGCCCACAACTTCACTGTTTTTGTTCAGTCTCACTGCTCTCAAAGAATCGTTTTCAGCCTTAGCAGTCAGCTGTTTCTTAGCTGAAAAGTCCCAGAAACTGACTGTACACTGCAGGCACAGCACCAAATGATGGAGCATTAAGCAGTTAAAGAGCCAGATATGTCCCTGAGGAGTTGGTGGAGACCAAAACAGAGCTTTAAGTAGAGTGAATATTGGACTTGCATTAATCCGGTTGCCAGAAACACAACTCCAAAAGAAAACATTTGTTGCTCCATATCTGATAAATGTTGATAAAGGTTTTGCTAACAAGGTTGTCATTTCAACTTTATTAAATAATAATGTGCCAGTGTTGTGATTGCAGCTTGTTTCTGCTGCCCCCAGGGTTTCAAAAAAGTAAGTAATTGAAGGTTTAAAATGTTCTATATCACATCAAAAGAGTCCTATATGGATGATTATTATTATTATTATTATTCCATTTTAGATCCCCATCCTCCCTTATAATTCTACCCTGCTGACTTTTATCACACTCTGTAATGCAATTTGAATCTAAGTGTTTTCACATGCATCAAAAGGCTTCTATACTGAAGTCTCACCAGAGCCATGGATACATATTACTCATGTTTTTGAAATACTCATCCAAATGAGTCTTGTCAATTACCTTCCTGCTGTTTCTCTGTATTGAAATTCACCCCTGACTTTCTTTTTTGTGCTCTCCCTACAACTGGGATCTGCTCAATAACAGCCAGTATGAGAGCCTGAATAATGCCAGCATGAAATTTCCTATTCATGTCACCGGAATAAAAAGTCTCTTTCACCACCTCTACTCCCCTGTTGTCATATACAAAAGCAGTGTGAGCAGGAAAGTGTAGGAATTAATTTTTTTCTGATATTCTAGATGTGCGGATATGGGGGTGTGACTCAGGGGTAAATGAAACACGCATCACTCTAGATTTATGGACCGGAGATGGCATCGGCACAGTGTGTCAACGGCTCACTGCCGATGTGGCGTTCTAGAAGATGGGAGAGGAAGATGCAGCAGACTGAAATGTGCTTTGAGTTAATGGGGTACGTACTGCGCGCCCAGCAGCAGAAAGTTCTGCCACAAACAAGGAGGACACTTGATTTTGGCTCGGAGGCTTGCTTTTGATGATGTTGAAAGATTGTTTGCACTCCCTAGTTGGCAATTGGCTAGAAACACGCTGATGAGAGAGTGGAGGCCTTTTCATCTGTGTGCTATAACCATTACCTGAAATGGCTGGTTGTAAATCAAAATTTTAGCAGTTCAGGGGGGTGGGGGGGGGGGAGCTGTTTGCTCGCTGACAGCAAAGGAAAGCAAGACATTAGAGTATTGAGAAATGTGTTGTGTGATTACAGAACTGTTCTGATGTGTTTTTGTTGTTTAAGTTTACTTTATTTTAATGAGTTAATATTGAACCGACCAAGCTATAAAATAGGTTTTTAAAATAATATCAAAAGTCCATTTATGTTTGATGGCTTTCTTCTCTGGCAGAGTTTTGTGTTCCTCTTTTTTCTAATTGAGTTTTTTTTCCGATTAATTGCCTGTGAAAACCTGTTGCTTTCCACTTCATGCTCCGATCCAATGAGAACTTCTCTTCTCTTGCTCTTTCGCAGGGAAAATGTCAAATATCCGTGCAGTCAGGAAGAGACAACAGCTGAATAACTTGGTTGCCATGGTTACGGAGCTAGCCAGGCCAGGATACACCATTGTGGATTTCTGCAGTGGAACGGTACTTGAAGTTCATCCATCAGTCCGGCTATGCATGTATATTTATCACTGCACCTGACCACGACTGCATCAGACTGCCGCTCCATTAGCAGCCAGCTGAAAGGAAACCAGTTCTCTGCCGTGTTTTTCTTACCTTTTTAAAATGCCTTTTGTTGTTTGCCAGTGTACCAGACCAGACTGTTAATGTAATTATACTGATGAAAATGCTTGCTCAGAGCTGTACTGCTGCACGGCTGAAAGGTCAATACTTGGTGGGAGAGGGCAGCAATAATCATAACTCTGTTGATGCCTCTCATGTGTGCTATTTTCCGTTTGTACCTTTTTTTTCTTTCTTTATGCTCTCAGGGCCATGTAGGGATTGCTTTGGCTCACACACTGCCAGATTGCCAGGTAACGTGTGTGTGTGTATGTGTGTGTGTCTGGTAATATAAGAACCAATAGCTTAATTGATTATGATAAGGTCATTAGATGAATCCCTTCAATATATATATAAAAAAAGAAGGTATGTAATTTAATGATCATATATTGGCTTTTTCAATTATTATTATTATCACTTTTTAGAAATCTGACAATAGGCTCCCTGTAATCTTATGTATTATGTATTATCATATTATTCATTTTGAGAGCTTTCATTAATTTTTTTTTCATGTGTAGATCTCAGTGTTTTGAACATTTCTTAATGTTGCCAAGCATTTAAATGTATTATTGCTCATTCCAGGTCATTTGAAAAACTATCAATCACATGCGGCTGTGTGGGTTATTTCTGTTTTTATTCAAGATCATCCTCATAGAGAACAAAGAGGAGTCCTTGGTCAGGGCCCAGAGTCGTGGCGCTGAGCTCGGTCTGAAAAACATCGGCTTCATTCAAGCCAATTTGGACTACTTCACCGGACCCTTTCACATTGGGGTGAGCATAGCAAGTAACACAATACAAAAACATGTGTCTTTGCACCAGCTTTGTTTCAATTAATTTGATGATTCATAGATTCTGTTGACAACATAGTAACCTTTTTCAGGTGATAAATATTTAAGATTTTTTTATTTTTGGTACAACAAAAAGTATTGCAATCAAATGCAATGTAAAACTCGTTTGTGATAGTACAAAATACCCGTTAAACCATAGCTATCACATTTTTTTTTAAGCCAGTCAAAAAGCTTTTCCAACTTACACAATGGCCTTATAACAGACAAATGCAAAGATTGTCTTGCTGCATGGAAATGTAGTTGGCAAAAAAACTTTGTGTGTAAAAGCTTCAGAGGAAAACATTTTGTCCATGAAAATGTAGAGAATAAAACTGATGTACTCCCAGGGTCATAATGATCATCTCATTGAATTCGAAGCCATTGTAAAGAAAATGTGGCAATTCCATGACATTGATTTTTCTTTTACTGCATTAAAATGCTGTAGCAAGGCTACTTAAGTTTCATATTGTTATAATCTGAAAAGTTAGTATGATGTTTGAAAGCATTGCTGTTTGAACAGTTGCCATCATTTGACAGTTGTTGTAACTCTAAAGTGTATATATAGTAAAATATTTTTTTACATTGAGTGCCACCTTTTCTGTTTCTAACTAAAAAGGTATAATTGTATAATTATATAGTGATAATAACTGAGTCAAAAGTACTTGAGTAGTTCTTGTTTCTGATGATGCATTAAAACAGAGAAGTAAACACCTTTGATTAACACTGCATAAACAATGTGTGTCTTCCTACTTTGCCACAATCACAACTTTACTGCAAGGTGTCTGAACATTGTATTTTTAGTCTTAAAATATTTATATATTTCGGAGCTCAGCCACACATCACATAGAGACATGTCATTCCCTCATCTTTTTCCAGAAACTGAAAATGCCAACGTGCAATTATTTTTGTCAGTGCAGCTAAGATGGCTTTTCATTTCCTGAAGTGGAGCTTTTAATCAGAACCCTTTTAGTGCTCTCTACTTCAGTCAAGCAGTGTATGTCACTGTCCCCTCTCTGATTACTGAAAAGCCAAAAGGTAGTTTTACCCTGAAAATGAAGGACAGGAGGTTAAAAGATCTCTTCAATTAGGTAAATTATTGGCTCACTCGTGTGTTTGTTCTTGTTTACTTTAAAAATCTGCTATCCAAAGATGCTTTTGGTTTGCTTTCAAAAACACGTTACCAAGATATTAAGAGTTATGCTCTTATTGAAGGTCTATGAGTCATATGTGGACAGGAAAGTGTTTGTGATAAAAAAAAAAAAAAAAAAGTAAAAATGGTTGCCAGCCATTTCAAGTTTGCTGCTATAGCTTTTACCTCTTAATTCATCACACAACACGAACATCTCTGCCAAGACTGCAGTTCTGCCTGTTTGTGTTGTTAAGCTTAAATGTCCTGCTTAGTAAATGTGTTTAATTCTGTTAAGCTACCTGTGACAACAGAATAAATATTTTACTAGCTTTCAACCTCTATGCTTAATGGGCCTGAAACAAACTAAAATTCAGCATTGCATAGCACTCACTTGCTGTAAGTCGGAACCCTCGAGTCTTGCCCGATTCCTATTTAAAACACACACCTTCATGTCTTGCCTTCTCAACCTGATAATTATATCAATTTAGAGCAAATAGGGCCTTTAAGTGTGCTTAATTATAGGTTGTTTGAATCTGGCTGGTGTCACACAAAAACGGGTCTTTGGGAGTTAAAAATATTTCCTATGTTAATGTAGAGTCTCTGAATTCCTGTTTTTACACGAGCAACATTTCGCTCTCCCATACGATCTTTATCTTCATCACTCTTGATTGTTGTCGTTATTTATGTGTCTCAGGTTAGTGTCTTCCCCCAAACATGTTGGGGAGATCCATCTTCCTGCCCTGTGTCATAGCCCAGTTTCAGGAAAAACAGCTGTTCTAGTAGCCTCACTTTAACTCTCCCTGGGACAAATAAGAATATATATGTACGTCCTGTAATTAGCCTTAGCTATTGTTCCAGCATCGTCACTCCACTGAGACCCGTTCTACTTGGCAAGAAGCACACAGCACAGATTACTCTTCTCTACAATACGTGGGTGTTTTTTTTTTTTTCTTTCTAGCCTAGTCAGAAAGTTCATGTGTGCACATATGGATTTTTTTCACATGATACATGATTGTTAAGATTTGTGTATAAAACAGGTGCTTTGAGTTTGTCCCTTTTCTGCACTGCTTCAGATTCATATTTCAGCACTTACGCAGCCTCAGCTGTTGCTTTGGCTTAGATTCTTCCTGCTTGACAGATATTTCTACCTGAAGAAGTCACCGGTCACACCGGATTTTAATCCGGTTATGTATAATAGAGGGTCCCATTTTTAGTCACATTCATTTAATCAGCCTAATTAAGTTGAGGTGTCCCTATTCTTAGTCTTAGTCTTCCTGTCTGCAGTCGCGTGTCCAAGGTGTTAGACTGGTATCAGATCAAGCCTCTACATACAGTGAATTTAGTTTTATTCTCTCTCCTGTCAGATAACATTGAGCCAACAGACCTCGAAGGCAGGAAAAGTTATGGAGCTTGAAGTTGATTTGGATTTTATTGGACCCAGGTCCTCTATTGGTTTTGCTTAAGGGTCGGATTGTTTGCAATTGATTCTTCCAGTTGACTTCTCTACGTTTGTGTGAAGAGAAAATGTACTTGCTGTTGTTGCTTTAAGCTTTATGTAAAAATGGGTATTGATCCATTCCAATAAGGTTTTATCTGCTCTAATTCCAATGATGTCTTTTAAGGATTCCAGATTTTTGTGTTTTAAGTCTTTAAGTTTGTTTATCTCCAGTTAAACAAGTTGAACATCACATCCACCTTTTTGAGAGGAAAACCGATTCTGTGTAATCACACTTATTCTAGTCTGGAACACACAAAGAATAAAATAAGGCACACATACCGTAGACTTACAGAATGATATACACCGATCAGCCATAACCAAGGTGTCCAGGTGGTCATAATGTTATTCTACCACATACGCAACAAACTGTGATACACTCTGTGTTCTGACAACTTTCTATCAGAACCAGCATTAACTTTTTCAGTAATTTGAGCTTCAGTAGCTCGTCTGTTGGATCGAACCACACAGGCCAGCCTTCGCTCTGCACGTGCATCAGCTAGCCATGACCCTGTCTCCGGTTCATTGCTTTTCCTTCCTTGGGCCACTTTTGATAGGTACTGACCACTGCAGACCACGAACACCCCACAAGAGCTGCAGTTTTGAGGATGCTCTGACCCAGTCGTCTAGCCATCACAATTTGGCCCTTGTCAAAGTCTCTCAGATCCTCACGCTGCCCATTTTTCCTGCTTCTAACACATCAACTTTGAGGACAAAATGTTGCTGCCTAATATATCCCGCCCACTGACAGGAGCCATGAGAGATAATCAGTTTTATTCACTTCACCTGTCAGTGGTCATAATGTTATGGCTGATTGGTGTAAGATTCTAAATGACGATGGTCCTGATTTTTTTTGTCTTACAGTTTTGCTTGAATTGCTAGGTAATATTAAGTGTGATATCATAATATCTGCAGCAAAACTGAACATTTTAAACTGTTCCATTATTTACACCCTTCTGCAAAGTTATGGAGGGTGTGATGTTGATTAAGTAGGGTATTAGTTAGCTGTATTGCAGGAACTTGTTCTGACTCAGGCCCAGATAGGATAGGAGAGGGATGTAATTACTTGAATAAGGGTGAATAATGAAACCTCATTATTTCTCTGATGTGATTATTGAGAGAAAGATACAGAAAGAAACAGCTTTTCCTCTCCCCAAAAGACAGATTAATACCGCAAACAGCTTAATAAATGGCTCTTGGTCCTTTGGTTGTTGCGTATTGATTTATGATTTCTTCTTCAAGTGAAATGTTTGTGCAGAGGTGTGCTTAGCAGGGCATGTATGAAATACTGTATGTCCATGAGATGGGTTTTAAAACAGCCTTGCATATATTTTGACATTCCCTTATCCATTTGTAATTAGTATCTTAAATAATATGTCAGGCTGGGACATAGCTTTATCAATATTGTTTAAACAGGCAAAGACAAAAAAAAATCCTGGCATTGATCAAACAAGAGTGCTTTCTAATTCAAGAATTTGAGATAATTAGTTATCAAAACATTAGAATGTGTTTTATTTTAGTTGTGTGCATTTCTTTTGGTTGGTGGCTTTGTGTTTGTGTTAAATCAAGGCTAAAGGTTATAAAATGTAATTAGGATTTACCACAGCATGACTAATGTACAACATTAAGTAGCTGGGTAAGAGCGATGGTGTTACTTTGTTAATTATTTTTGCTTTAGATGTGGGGGATGTAACATCATGCAATCTTTGATAGGCACTCCTCCTCCTAATCAGCAGTCTGAGACATGCTGTTAAAAGAATATAAGCTAGGTTTTTCCCTGATGCCATGAATAAATGCAGGATAGAAAATCCGGGGTGTCAAATAGATGCAAGGCCGTGCAGGTAATTGATGTTAATTCCCCAATTTTCACTTTCTGGTTATTCTTTCATGTGCAGAGTCTCCTTGTATAACTTCATGTTTAAATCCATTCACATCTTTCAAGAGTGGAATAAATGATTCTTTGCTGATGAACAAACACGTCACAGTTCCATGTTGAGCTCTTCTTGTAGTTGAGAAAAAACATTTCCGAGCATTTGAGTTACACATAGAAAGGTTCGCACCTTTTGGTTTCTTGTGTAGTTTGAGCCAAAGGATTGCTGCAGCCATGCAACTTCCAGGGAGAGCTGATGCATCTCTGAGAAATGCCCCCCACCCAGACATTTGAGTGACTTTACGAGTGTGTTTGACCATGTTTAGAGTGCCTGTATCTTCCCTCATCTTTGGAGCTGCAGCCAATCTGGGCATAACCCTGTCCTGACCGCTGCTTTGAACTTCTGCTCTGTGGCACTGCTGTCAAGGCAACATGCACTAGACTCAGACTCACAGACGCCATGTGACAACCTCTCCGTGGCTCCATGAGTTGGAAGGGGTTCATTTCAGTGTGACCGAGTAGCTATTGTTACATCAGACGGTTGATAATGCCTTTTTTTTGGACCATTAACAGAGAATCTATTTAGCTAATGTACGCTTGAGAGGAAATCATCTATTTTACTACTGTATTTTTGGATATTAAACTCATTGCTTTTTAGTAGTCATAATGTATTTTTGCAGATGGACTTGGTGAAAGAGCCGGCTGGAATACAAGACAGGCTATCATATCGGGTCCTTTAGTCCCTTTCCGTGATTCAATATATAACCACACCATTACTAATGCATAGCTAGGTGTTCATCACCACACACAATTTATCCACTCAATGGGAATCCTGATGAATTCGTGCCCTGGCTCCTAAAGCACAAATACATTTTGTTTGCTCTAACTCCCCAAGTCTGCACCTTTGAGAGCATAGATGTATTTAATAGCAGCAGCCATTATGAAGTAATCAATGGAATTGAGTGCATGTTTTCAAGTGCTCTCAGTTTTGGTCTTGCTGTTTGACAAAGAAGGTTTTCAAGAAAGCTTGGATTTTATTGGTGAAAGAAACAAGTCTTGTATTTTTCTGTGTCATTTCAGGTTGCCCTCCATGCATGTGGCGTTGCAACAGACATGGTGATGGAGCACTGCATCCAGGCAGGAGCCGCCTTTGTCATCAGTCCTTGTTGCTACGGCTTCATCCAAAACGCAATCAAGTTCACCTTCCCCAAGAGGTTTGTACCTGTTCGCTTCAGTCCAGTGTCACCTCTCAGGGGCTCTGCTTTTTAAAATGTTGTTTCTGACCTTGTTTTCTTGTTAGACTCCTGCTAGCGTAAGTGTTTCTCTTCTCTTACATTCTCTCATAGTGTTTTTTTTTCCGTTTCTCTTTTGGGGCTCTCGCTCTTCATCATTTTCACACTCATTGTCACTCTGTCTAACACACATGCACATGATCTATATCTCACTGCTTATTGTGCACCTAATGTCTCTTATCGCCACGGCTGAGCAGTGTCGCATCGCCTTCACAACAGGGTCCGCCCCTCTCCTTTTCAATCTTAGCCCCGTTCTATCAGCAACAGAGAGTAGGGTTCTCTTTGTACAGACTGTCTTGAATATCACAGAATGACAACAAAATCCAATTGGAGGTACAACGAATTGCTACTCTTGTTGAAATTAATTAATTACTTAATATTTGATGCTGTTTAAATTGAAATGGAAGAGACAAACAACAGCAGAGAAGGAAAAGTGAGAGGCTTTACTTTAACAGTGTTGACCGTGTTGCTATAGCAGCACCCTGTTGACTAATGACACTGTAATGTCTTAAGAATCATAATTAGGTAGTATTCCACTGAAACCACTTTAGGATACTTCAAAACAAAATGCTGTTGTTTAGGATTGCTGTTGTAGCAACTTAGAGACTGTGATCACTAGTGATTTAAGGAGCTAGATTGTTGGTAGATTGTAATTGTTTGGACGGTTATAGTGTGCAAAATGCAGAGCAAAACAGCAAAATTCCTTGAGTGAAAATAGTTTTACAATCCAGGTTTCAGTGCAGAGCTCACCTGAAGTTGCAGCTCTCTCTGCGTGTTCCTTCTTCTCCTCTTCTCTCCACCTACCCTTCATCTAGAGTTGACCTTTTACCTTTGGTTGCTTTTTTGCTCTTTGTCAGTTTCTGCTTTGGAACAGAAACAAGCAAGAAGTGTGTTTCAGTGATTGCAACTCCACTGTTGTTCCTGTTCCTTGCTCAATGATTCAAGTCTCTTTCTGTTATTGCAAAATAACCTCTGGGTTAAAAAAAGCTGTCAATTGCCTGAAGACATCATGTTCATTAGAGTTACAACCTAGATACAACACAATGAGATACGTTTTCCTTTCACTAATGAAACATAATTAAAGGACCAGTGTGTAGGATTTAGTTTAAGATTGCAACCAGCTGAATACCACTCGCCTATCTAAGTGTGTAGGAGAAACTACAGTAACAGCATAGCCCACGAAAAACTCGAAATGTCCTATCTAGAGGCAGTGTTTGGTTTGTCTGTCCTGAGCTACTGTAGAAACATGGTAGGGGACTACATGGAAGAGGACCCACTCCCTCTGTAGATAGAAATAGCTAATTCAAAGGTAACAAAAACAAAACAATTTCTATATTCAGGTGATTAAACACTAAGAAAACGTATGATTTATGAATATTATATTCCATTTCTGCCAATAGAGCCTCCACGTTACACACTGGACCTTTAAGATGCTGCCGCATTAACATAAGTATTGTGGAGGCTTTTAGTTTAAAAGTTCACATGTCTGGACCAGACCCAGTGAAAGGTGAAAGTGCCTTCTCATTCCACATCATCACACAACAGCCCACAATCACAGCAGTGGTGGTTCACACTAGAGTAGCACACCACCGGCGGTTGTTTAAGTCACGCACATCATCCTGTCATAATTAGCAGTGGCATATGTCAGTAAAAATCTGTATAAGTCGGTGAAAAGGGATATATGACAGCGGAACATGAGCCATCAGCCAACAGAAAGGGAGCTGCATAGCAAAAACTGACCTAGTTACCTCTCAGAATCTACAAACGGTATGCCACAAGAACAAAATGACATACTATCAGCCCTTTATCTTGGTGTTGCTGTTAGTTTAACTAATAAGCATAGATATTGTTGCTATGGTTGCCAAGACTTTAACGTAATTGTACTCTGATATAGAGCAGTGGTGGAACTGTTCACTGTTACTATGTTTCAGGTGTTCTCATATGTGATTCATATTTCATTTAACACAAAAATAATTTTTCCCTTTTTTTGTGGCTATGGTATAACTGACCCTAAAATTGTGCCTTGGGGAGGACCATCAGTGTACAGTATAAATATTTAGGAATTTTCACATACTTAGTTTTCTCTCCTCTCTTTTGCTAACTTGACACATCACCCCTCCTGACTCCTCATAAAATATTAAAGCATAACCCAAAAAATGGCAGCTGTAATGGACAACAAGAAGCTGTGTTTCTGGAGGGCAGTCCTGCAGTATATGTGAGGGGCCCACGCACCTGACTGTGTCAATCTTCGTCTTGCTACTTTTAGTGTTTTCCCCTCAGGTCATGTTCCAGGTACTCATGTGGATATTCTGCAGGTGTAGACATTCCAGGCAGTTCACAGGTTTTTATGAGCTGTGAAACTAAACTGCCCATTTCATTAAGTCTCTAACAGTTAGAGTTAAACTTAAGACTTCTTTCGATGTGACCTTACTGGCCCTTAAACCCTGACATTCTTCATGTTGATTTTTAAATAGCTTCAATGATGATCTGGCTAGGTTTAACCATCACAAACTGACTTAGGTCTCATGTGACAGCATAGAGAAAGTGGTTTATTTTAGATACTTTGCATGTTGTTTGTCTTATAATAAGCCTTAGATTTGGTTATACATGCATGTCCCTTGCTTGTACAGTGGTTTTCCCTGAAGAAGAAGTAGACTTTTTTTCTCCGGGCCCGAGCAAGTAAATATATGCCATATAAGTGTTTTCTCCCACATCTTACTCACTGCACTTTAACATCAAAATATCTTCTGTTTTTTCTGTTTTACAGCAAAAGGTTCCAAGAGACTCTGACTTATAAGGTATGCTTTTAAATGTGATTAAATCCCTCTGTTCCATTTATTATTCATTTGCACTCAGACAAATATCAAGTACAGCATACTGAATTACAACAACTCCCTTTTTTACAAGGACCGTGTTTCAGATTCAGTTCACTGTGCACATCAAAAGACAGCTTCGTGGCTAATGACTAATTTTAAAACAGCATGTTCATTAGAGTCTTACATGTTCTGTTACAACACAATGAGACAAGTTTTTCTCATCTATAAGATGTTGCTGCATGAACAGAAGTATTAATGGCATCAGAGGCATTTAGTTTAAAAGTTATAGTTTCACATACCTGGACTGGAGTGCAGTGACCCGGTAAAAGGTGAAAGTGCTTTCACATACCACAACACCCAGCAAACATAGAAACCAGAAGACATTGAGACAAATGTTCAGACAAATGAGGGACAAATTGAGAACCCCTAGATTGAGTTGTAGTGGCTATTCATAATCTGCTTAGTAACTACTAGCTACTTTCAAACTAGTGATTTGATGAACTGTAGTGCTCATTCAAACTTTAAAAATGTATCAACTAGAAAATACTTCGAAATCGAAATGTACTAATTGTAACATAACCTCCAAAATAACAGTTTATGGAGAAACAATATATTAAACTTAACAGTGCTTTGTAAACATAGACATGACTTTGTTTTAGTTATCCATGCATACAAGGAGAAATGATTATGTGTCAGAGTGAGAAATATCTGATTATGCTAGCTAACGTGACGTAACCTAACGACATTGCAAAAAGTTAATGGCATAACATTTTTTTTGATATATCATGTGTTGGGTCAGATTGACCATATTCCATATTATTTCTTTTACTTGTCATGGTAAATGGGTCGTATTAGATAAGCAATCTAACATGAGTCAGTTACACCTGGCAGTTAGTATGTGTAAATATTTAACAACAACTAATCTCTACGTAATGTATTAATTTAGTGAAGCGTTAATCTCTGTTTAGTACTTAATCTACACTTATGTTATAACCAGGCTAAGATTGACGTTGCTAAGAGCTGGTGCAATTGTAATTTGGACGTACCAAAAATCTCCTAAAATTAAAATATCTACAAAACTAATTATTTTTTTCCAAGCTTTTTTTCTAATTGCTTTGTTGTTTTTTAAAATATATTTTATTTGTACTTGTTTTATGGGACAGTAAAATAAAACTAATGAAATCTCTTGGCTCTCGCATGTCTTGAGAACAAAGATTCCCCAGGCAGTTAGAAGAGGGAGGCTCACACCCTCCAGTCTCTCAATTCCTTATCGCTCAGCACAGACACAGCACTGTACTCTGGCAGGGCCCATCCCATGATGATGTATGGGACCTGTCAGTGCCCCTGGGGAGAATCTGTGCAAAAGTTGCTGCAGGTCCCAGCCATGGCAACCTCAAGAGTTGACATGTCACAACATCGGACCACCTCTAACTTCTTTTTTTTTGTGCACTAGACAAAACAGATTATTTTCATTTTTTTAAGATCTGGCTTGAGAGGCACAGAAGATTATATATTATTTACAAGACAGTGGGCAATTGTACTGTTTTGTGATAGTGAGTTGTGATTTTTCTGTGGTTGTCCAAAAGCCCAGTGAGCAAAAAGCAATCACAATTGCCATCTGTCTAGAAATAAGAAGCTCAACATATAGCCACACAGCAGTGGAAATCTATATTCTATTTAAACCAGCAGTCACATTATCTACCACTTTAAACCTGAGCTCTAAATCACCACTGCTTCCCCCCATGGTTTTGCTTTCAACAACCATGTTTGGTATTTGCTATTCAATTGGGCTCAGCGTACAGAAACCATTTTTTCCTGTGTTTCTGCTCCCAAACACTTGCAGAAATAAAAGCTGCATTGAATTGTTTTAAAGCAGAACCATAGTTGTCCTTCCTGAACTATAGTAGTTAAACAGAATGACAACACACTGACAAATGGTGTACCGCTGGAATAAAGGGCTAATGGTGTGAGATATTGGTGCTCAGCTCTAACTTAAAGCACCTGCTTCGTGGCCTTGTATTCAGCTCCACCCCGTGCAGTAACGAATTGAATCAATTTGAGCACGGTAGAAGCAGGTTAGAGATTACCAACTGCACTCCTGATTCACTTGTTCCATGAACCATAACAAGGTAAAAACAGCACAGAACTACTTGTCCTTCGATTTGAAAAAAATTACTCAGAATCTTAGAATCATATAATGTGGTTGACGTTTGTTTTTTATGTCTTGTATGTCACACCTGGTCGATTGGTCTGACATACTGTAAACATGTCTACAAATGTTGGACACAGTGCAAATAAATCAATCTGACTGATCAATGTTGCTCAGTCTAGTAACTGTAAAGAGACAACACACTTAAACAAGGCAAAGAGTCTACATGAAAAGCCAGGGGTTCATATGGCATTAAATCTGATTGGTGAGATATTTTGTTGTTGACCAAAGTAGTGGACTGACCAACATTGCAATGCCGGCTAAAATAGGCATAAAAACTGTGTGGTTTGAGTTTGTGCATAGAATTTCCCATGTGGTGGACTAGTGATCTGATGATAACTTTTTCTGCTAAGGCTTTATTTGGATAGTCTGCCTACAGATAGTTTATAGAGTATTTGTAAGTCTTCAACTGTTTTGCTTTGTCTGTAGTTGTTTAACAGATCGTCAATAGATTATATGTGATAATTCATGAACATACCCTAATATAATGTTTTTTGTGCCAAAACCTTACACACACATAATATCAGAAAACGGTGTCCTTTGTGAAACAGTTGAATTGTTAAATCTCAAAATGTTGAAATGTTACAAATACTCAAGGCCATGCTACACAACTGTTGATAGGCAGATGTAGGAAAAAGTGGGATAAATAGATAGATTGAACAATGCATAATAGAGTTAGATCCTCTGAATGGCTCATTACAATCTTTGTGGAATTCTTTAAATTTCTGATTGATCTGATCAAAAACTTGGGGCTTGATAGATATCACCCAGAGCTTTAGTGTAAGTATTCATTACACTTGAATAAACAGTTCCTGTACTCATCTTCTGTCCTTGTTTCAGGAACACATGATCCTCTGTCGCTTCGCAGACCAAACTGCTGTCCAGCTCCCTCCTGAGAGGCGACTCATAGGTACCTTTTTATATGTCTGACAATAGAAATGGATACTATTTTGATATTTATTTTTCTTTGGCTTTTGTATTGAAACTATGGAGACCAAGAAGTCACAAATGAATTATAATAAGTTTGACTGTTTATCATGTAGTAGGTTTGTCACTGTGACCTAACCCCTCTGTGCCGGCCTTGCTAGCTGATGGCGCTTTCGATCAAACCAGCTAAACACTCCAAAAATCTCCACAATAAAGGTGTTGATTTTCTAGAAATGTATTGAGAATCTTGTGAAACTCAGCACAATACAGATGTAGTATTAGAATTACTAAACGATAGCATAGCGATACTTGGTGATTTAGCTATACTTCAGAATGTACGTCGACACAAATTAACCAAAATAAATGATAAATGCCAATATATGTTGACAGATGGACTATACTTGCAGACGTCACTTTAGCTAGCAGACAAGTTAAGTGTTTAAACTGAGGTGATGACTACAACAATGAATTTACTTGGTTAGTAGACGCTGGTTTATGTTAGTTAGTGAATAAGTAAATAAGAAACAAACTTGTAAATAGATTACCACACAGTGGCGCTATTACACAGGATAAGGATAGGGGCAGAACACCATCTGCTCTACTTTTTTTAAAGGTCTAGACTTTTGAGAAGTGTGAAAAATGTTAATGCTGGGATTTCTTCAATGTGACAAAACAGCTGCAGTGAACAGCTGCCAGATCAGTGTTGTCAGATTCAGAGGGAGGTGTTTTGTCAGACTGAAACCTCCAGGCCTGTGCTGAAGCTTCACTGTACAGTGTTTCATTATGTTGAGGACTCTCTTCACCCTGATAGCTCTCCAGCTTATCAAAGCTTCCCTCTGAATCCGAGGAGGCTCCCCAATGCCTCGTCAGTCTGAGGCCCTTTCATATGTACCTGACACTACCTGTCACAGAGGTTTCTGCTCTATATCAGTTAACACGGCTCAACCTCTCCCACTAACATTTTCTAACCATGTTTGATCTCATCTCTCCAGAGCCTGCCAGTGTGACTGTGACCGTGTAGGCAGCATGGCAGACCAAAGCTTGCATTTACTATGTCTGCCACCTGCTCCCTACCTGTTAAACTGCATAATATATGAAGTCTGTTTTCAAAGTAAATCCTAAGAGAATAGCATGATAATCAATGCAGAGTTGTTGATGAATAAAAATTGCGTCTCTTGGGTATTGATACAAACGAATGTTAGGAACATACAGGAAACTGACAAAATGAACAGGAGGGTGAGTTGAGGGTGTTGCAATCCGCAACTACACCGCTAAATACAACTAAATCCTTCATGCCGGACCTTTAATTTGTCACCTTACTATGTTGGCAGATATGCTACAGGAATTTGCAGTAGGGTTTTATAGGTGGCATTTTTATATATTTTACATGTATTTATACAAAAGTCAACCAGAATCAACCAAATTGTACAAAATAAGTTAGTTTTACCACAGTTTACTGCTGACAGACTCAGTTTCAACTATAAAAATTCCTGCAAAATACAGTAATAAACTAATTAGAGAAATCTTTGCCAAACATTTTTCTCTCTTATGTAATAATATTAAACAGAAATATATGTCTGAATATATATTATCTGAATGTCAATTGTTAATATTTTTCACACTTGAATATCAGTATTGGATCGGCTTAAAAAATCTAATATTGGTTGGCTTCACTTCTTATGTTCTTCTAATCTATGGTACCTTTTGAGGCATGCTGTCATTTTGGACTTCCTTACAGTGTAAAATAAAAGACGTTCCCGTTACTTTGTATAAAAACATGAAATCAAATATAGGAAAATGTCTCTTTCTTGAGTAAATGCTTAAAACTGGATTCATTTATGTTTGGATGATAAAATTCATGTGATTTTTCTGTTTGGACCACTCCAGGTAAACATTGTATGGGCCTGGTAGACTTGGACCGCTCGTGGGCAGCAGAGACTCATGGGTACTCGGTGCAGGTAATGACTATGGAGCCTGAAAGCTGTTCGCCAAAGAACAACATGCTGGTGGGAAGAGCGCAGCAAAAGAGCGGACTGGAAGCTGCTGCTAGCCAACTGGAAGCACCGGCGCATAATTAGGACCGCAAGCACCACTGTACAGCATCTTCAGTGTGTTCAGGGTTTGATATAGTACCCAGCCTCTGTGGCTACTGTCGAATGGTGCTCAGAATACTGTTTTTAATCTACCCTCAACATTTTCTTTTAATTTGTTTTTTACAAGCCCTTTTGTATGAAATGGCCTCGGAAAATAAAACCGATGTTTGTTTATTATTTCTGGACTAGCAGAAGTCAACTTCTGGAATATCTTTCAGACTGAAGCTAAAGGTAACCATGCAATGAATGACTGTGACAATTAACACATGGAAGGGTGCTTTCTGAGAACTACTCCTCTTAGTTAAATGTGCTCAATTACTAAACACTTAGTTTTAGTAAAAGAGCTCAAGTCTCTCACCAACTGCTACGTTACATTTGTGTCTTTGCCTAAACTGTGTGATCAAGCTGTCAGCGTAAACAGAAGCAGCAGGAATTACACACCCACACTGCAAATTAAGTACGGCATACTTACACATGCTGTTTTTGCAAATAGTCTGTATACGGCCTTCTGTGATAGAACTCAGCAGTCCGCTCCACTCTGTTGCCAGGTATTAACAGAAGAACGAGAAATTCAGTGCTGAAAACTCATCTGCACTTAAAGACAAGATGGGGAATCATCATTACCTACTTCTCCGTGTGTGTTTGTGGTAGACTACGAGAGAGAGGGGGATATTAAAAGAGAGAAATGGATCTAAACTCATATCACATCAGTTAAAATATAGAATTTGTCATGGTTCTAGGGAGAACTGATTATTCCTCATAAAGAATGAATGTGAATATGGTATGCATCCCGTAATACGTTCAGCAGCAATGAATATTTTATGACGCTGGCGAAAAGGTCAGTGTGCTTGATTAGATGCACACTGTTCGCAGCCTAGTAGCTGAATATCATGCAATATGCTCCATATTTCCAATCCTTTATACTTTAGATACACTATAGCCCCCTTAAGCTTCCATTCCCCTAGGTGAAAGTGGTTATCTGTTTCTCTGAAAAATCCCGCGTTGTCAATTTTGACAGTGTGCTGCGGCTGCTTGAGGAATCTGGGGAGGTAGCCTAAGATCCAGTTTTCCTGCTCACACAGAGGGGATGGACGCGAGCAGTGCGGGCCTTTCCAGCATCGAGCTCATCTGAATTCACCCAGCAGAGTCAATCTATCCCGAGATGAATTGCCACAGACACAGCTCCTTCCAAGGACTGGAATTATTTCAAAAGGAGATCTTTATGCTTGTAGCTCTGTGCAAAAGTGCAAATTACAAAAATGCATATAGGTACAATAGAGGAGAGAGTAGGTGGCACTACTTAAAGCTTGCATGAGACAGATAGGAGAATTGTGACGTGTGGAGTTGGATGATTCAACCCAAACAACTGGGGCTGGAAGGTGAAAACATTTGTTCAGACAAAATAAGTGAGACGTCTGAGCTGTTTTGTATGTCTCTGCTCAGTCTGTTTTTTTATTTATTTTTATAATTGATTAGCCTTGTGGAGTCTTTCTATGAGTACAGCATAAAGTCAGTGATGCACTGAGGTAGATGCATTCTTTTATTGTGTAATTAACAGAAATCAGTAACAGCTTTATTGCCATGTAGGGTTTCACACCAAGGAATATCCACTGGTGAAAAATTGACATGCCAAGATGTTTAATTAGAGACACACTTATGTATCCTTTCTATTAAACCAGTGGGCACTAACATGTAGGTTTTCAAAAGCAGCTCTGAACTGAGCAATTTGTTGCAGCAGAAAACCTTTATTGTTTTACGAACTTCTGTTAAACTTTTAATTAAAATTAATCTCATCTTGGTGGCCTCCACTTCATTACACCGGTTGTTTTTATGGCCGTTTACCTGCAACATATATGGGGTCCCTCGCCGTATGAATGTTTCGTTTTGGCGGGGACCTCGTTTATGTGTTCACAGTTACCATAACAGGCACCGATATAAAGCACAATACCAGTTAAAATGGATACATGGGGCCTCTTTTAACCATTTAACCTGCATTACCACCTTTATTACTTTATTGTTTTATACCATTGTTTATATTAACAAACAACGTTGAGCTTATAGAAGTTGGGAATAACAATACATTTAATACACGCATTTCCTATTTGGTTGCCTACAGCAGATCTCGGCTGCTGTTATTTTGCACACCCTAATAATGTTGTTTTCTGATTCCTGATGCTTCTCCTACTGTCATGTTATATATCCCCAATTTAGCAGTTCCCTGCTTATGTTCTATTTTTGAGTTTATTTACTTTGGTCTGCTGTAAGCATTGTCTGTTCAGAATGTAACATAATGACTCCCTTCTCCTGTGGGGTTTATTAAAGGATGTGTTCACCCAAATCACAGGAATACATTTGTCTTTTTTCATATTGCCCTGGCTGGCAGACGGCCTATTTTGAGGATTTCGAAGAGGAACTGGAATTGTTTGATGTTTATCTTTCTGGTCCTTAATTCCTTTATCATTTCCTGGAAAGAAGTATGAAAGTTGGACTTTTTCTAGATCTTATACCGTAGATTCCAATGACTTAATTCGGATTCATTTCTAATGTGATCTAAGTAGTCTGCTCAGCACAGCAGGTCAGCTGAACATGCGAAACAAGCATACAATTAAGAGAATATGTTTATTTTAATAAATAATGAATACATTTATATTTGGGTTTTAATTAAGCTGCTCTTTCTAATACTTTCTAAGGAATTAAGTTTTAACTAAAGGAACTTTGTCTTAGAGATGAGCATCTCCAAACTGGACAGATAAAACTTTGCCTGGCTAGATACCTCTTGTCATAAGTGAGACTACATGTATTCTTTTGTGTTTTTGGTGAACTGACCCTTTAAAGTTTCATCTGATTTCCCACAACATACCAATAGTGTGGGTAATTGAGGTTCTGCAAAAAACCCATAACTAATTTTCAAATGTAATAAATCATCATGGAATCAAATGTTTACAGTCCAGTCGTGAAAGTAACGTGATTAATGGTGTAATTACACACAACCGGGCCTTTCTCAGATCACTTGCTTCTGGAGATGTCAAACCTCTCTGTACCACCACATAGATTTATTGTCAAGTTGTTGACGGGGCGTAACAAGGCGCACAGTGCCACGTATCAGACAGACGGCGGTGGCTGAACAACCAGCTGTAATCATATCAAACCTTCATCTCATTCATCTCCTCCTTCATTACTGGGCCCTTACTGGAGAATAATTTCATTGACTGACTTAAATTCTCGAGGCAGAGGGCTGTCACCTCAGAAAACGAGGCAGACGTTTATAATTCTGCCCCCAGACAGGAAGAGCCATTCACCACACTTTGAATATGAAGTGCTGCTTGGGACTCAGGCAGCAGATAATCACCCTAATAGAATTACACATAACCTCTTGTCTTAGAATAAGAATAATAAAGACTTTGTGATTTCATATTGAGCGCATGTAGTCTTCAAGATGTGCAAAGTATGATGGGAAAATTGCATTCAAGAAAAGCAACTGATTGCGCCTTTTTTAAAATTATTTCTTTATTTTTACAACAATCTAATATAAGGAAATATCTGACACAAAGCAGAACTGAATCTGTCTGTAGTTTGAAATCATTATTAAAAAAAATATATTTCAATCAAAAACTAAGTCACTTGTGTTTTTATTTACAATAATTACAGCTCCAACAAAAGCCTTTCTGTTTACTCAAGTAGTGCTCAAGCTGTCAAACCGCTCATTTTGTATGTTGTGCGGCTTATTTTTTATTTTTTTTTGTCCTCCAAATTCAGCCCCAGTAATTTTCGCTGCATCGTGTGAACAGCGTGAGCAACGTCTACCTGGGTGGGCGATGCACCTGCGTGCCTCAGCAGGCTACGCAATTAATTAAGGCATTTCCAAAAGCATGCGCGGCACGGAGCTGCATCTGGAGCCTCTTCCTCCTCTCGGCTGTGCGGGGCACGGCGTTATATTAAAAGTCTGGCTGGATATCCGCCGTGTTTTTGGCCGCTGCTTATTGGAAAGACGGGGAGATAAGGTCTGACTGCAGTGAGGGGCTGTTGGTTGGAGAGCCTGCTGACTGAACTTGTGAGGAGAGGAGAGAGGGGGAGCTGTGCGCTCTCTTCCCGGCAGAGTGCGTCCCGCTCCACACACACACACGCACACGCGCACACACACACACACACACACACACACACACACACACACACTACAAACACACACACAGAGACACACATTGGGGTCACTACTTCAAGACAGCGGACTGGTTTTACTCTCGCACCTCCTGAATATCGCACATGAGCAGTGCGAAGGACGCCGGCAGACCCTGTTCTACCTACCTGTGCGCCTTCAGCGTGCGTCAAAGAAACTCTTCTGTTTACGTCTAATTGTTTCCTCCGCGGTTTCCTACCCAGTGCTTTTGGATTACGGAGAATAACAAGCAGCGTGCAACTCCCGAAATCATGGATTTATGGATAAAGTTGATGTTATTGTACAGCTGCTGCTTTGGGGCAAGCGCAGACTTTGATGGCAGGTAAGGACACATGGTTCACATTTTCTGCCAAAGCCGATGTTTTTGTGAAATAACACAGATTTTTGGTTAAGAGCCTGCAGTTTGATCATCACACTTCAAGTCCGTTTGCAGGCTGTTTCTGTAAAAACAAAATTGCGCCTTTGGTTAAAGACAGCCCTTGCTGGAGTGGCTGCAAACTGAAGCATTATTGTAGGATCTCCAAACTGCGAAGCTTAATTTAGATGCGACTGAAAACATGTTGCTTTTGTGAAATGTTGTGCCCTCGAATGCACTGTGATTCTTGGCATCTCCGCTTTACCCTTTGCGGTCTATTATCCTAACTTTTATTTGGACGAAAACAGTAATAATCCAAGTGCATCCATGCCAGTATGTTGTGCGCCTCGGAGCACACATTCTGTTATAGCAGAAGCGGTGTTTACACGTTCAAAAACACACACCACGGCTCTTCTCCTGTGCAGGTATCAGGCTGATTATCAAGTGATGTGACAGCACATCGCCCGGTGCTTCATGTTCAAACACGAATTGGATGAAGTATGCAAAGACAGGTGTGGAGACGTGCCAGACCCCAAAGAATGCACGTGTCCGAGATTTTGATCTGCATAATAGCTGCATCTGAGTTGGTGAACATGATGAATGATGCCAGCTTTTTTTTTATTTTTTTATTTTAACAACCATGCATAATAAGCCAGCCAAGTTGTAATTTAGGTGTAACAAGTATTTAAAGACATGTTTCCAAATTGTTTGTAATGAAGTCATTTTATCAATCATGTTCATTGGCACAATGCTCACTTCACTTTCTGGGCTGGGGCTGATTGTTAAGAGGACTTACAGTTAAAAGAGGTGTGGAAAATCGACTTTATTCCATCTCCTATTTCGGGTCATCTTGCGTTGGATTTCTAGAGCTCAGAGTAAAATTGGACTGAAGTCCATCCAAACAGTGAGAGAGTTACACAAACAGAGCTCTTCTGCCAAATTTCCTACATCTAGAGAGTGCAGCAAAGTATTGTACTTTTCCCCATGTATCTCTGTCAGACAGACTGAGCCCCTAAATCAGGATCCTCTCCACATTTTCAAATGAATGAAAAACTTTTGAGGATTATTGGAGGTAACTGTTATTGAAATAGTATGCATGCATTTCAAAAAGCCCTTTCAGACTGACTGCCATTCCACCTGCTTGTTGATAGATTTTGACATCTGGAGGTATATTGCCTTTTTTTCCCCCTCCTTAGCTCTTTCAATTCAGCTTTATGCCGTGCTCAAAAGTATTTCAAAAGAAGGAGATTTGGATATCAAAGGTTTGAGCAAGGACTAAATGTGTGTCTGTGTGAGAGAGAGAGAATGAAGGAGAGGGCAGAGATATTACAAAAAATCTAAGCTGAACATTTGCAAGCACATATATTATTGTTATTTGGGACTTTTTTTTCTTAATCACCATGGCCTATGTTTGTGTGACAGGTTGTGGTATGATGAGAACGGCTTTAACTTTTATTTCACGCATCGCCTTTGTGTAATGATCATTTACTTTAACCTAGCAGCAGCATATTGTACATTATTAACATCCCTGCTGATGGAGTGGCTTGTCACCCTGGCCATAATTTGCCAATTTTTATGGGTATAAACTTGCCCGGGCCTGAGTCTCCGCTTCAGTATTAATTCATTGAGAGAATATCCCCTGAGACCGAGCACAAGCAAAAAAGCCATTTATTACCTAGTCTCCCTCACTTATTGCCTTTTAGAGAGCGTTCCTAACAGGCTTATCCATCTAGTCCTGAAGGGTCCTTCACGGGCATCATTGGCAAGATCATTTTGTTCTCCCGTAGCTGCACATAATATGCTTACCCGCAAATCTGTGGCTAAAAACGTTGCTGTTGTTGTTGCCACTTTTTTTTATTCCAACAAAGGACTCAAGGACAGCCGATTTCCTGTCATGTAGCACCGAAGACTTTTGCCAAAATAAAAAGCAACACATACAGTAAAGGGTATTCTTTCCTAGTGATGTCACTAAATTGTTAAGTCCAACTCAGCCAAGTAGCGCATACCAGACCTGCTAAGTAATAATCCAAAGACGTGGACTGGTGCCAGGTTATGTTGGCGTTGTAATATCAGACCCAGATTTGGGCTTTCAGGGGTTGAGAGGGAGTGAGAAAACATTGACGAAGACACATTTTATGGGAAGCCCAACAAAAATAATACATTTATAGTGTTCAATATCTAGTGTACGTCAATGTCATGATGAGGGATGTACCGACATCTCTATTATGAGTTATAGAGAAGATTTAAAGTATAACCTCAACATTGAGTTCAAACAGTTCAGTTCTTGAGAAGCATGCATTCAAGTACTGTACCTCACTGAACAAGGATCTATTGGCAGGAATGGAATATAATATCCTTAGGTATGTTTTCATTAGTGTATAATTACCTGAATGTAGGAATCGTTGTGTTTTTGCTACCTTAGAATGAACCATTTATATCTACAGATGCTGTGGGTCGCCTTCCATGGAGGCCCCCATATTAAACCGTCATGTTTCTAGAGTAGCCCAGAAGGGACAAACAAAACACTGGCTATATATAGGAGTATTTTTTTGCACGTTCCATGGCCACTGTAGTTTCTCCTTCGCGCTTGGAAGGGGAGGGTGAAGCGTCGGAGTTGCGATCTGGCATTTCTGTTTATGACTAACATAACTGCTCCCCCTTACTTGCTTTGTTGTCATGTTTTCTAAACCAACAGGACAGTTCGGGAGGAAGTGGAAATCAATTTATGTTGTATCGAACAAAGTTCTACAAGGACAATAAAATCAATCAGATGTTGCTGAAGGTTGATGTAGACTACTCAGTCATATAAGTCTGTCAGTGCAGTAGAAGTATACTGGCATAGGCACTGCCATGTTGTCCTGTCCTTTATACAAAGAAAGATAGAGAATAGCAGGAGTTCTAGCAAGGTCAGGGTTCCATTTTTGCTTGTTGGCAGAGTCTGCTGTACAATACACTCTGTGACCAGACACCTCTGCATTTTAACATTGTAATGCAATTCAACAGTTCCATAATAAACATTAGATTTGTGATTTAATCTCAACTGTTCATAATACTGTGTCAGAGTTAATTCTGTGGTCATTTGTAAGGCACTGGTCGATAGTGTTGTATCCTGCAGTGGTGAAATGAACCCACGACTGCAGTCAGGACAACAGAGTTGCTGCCTACAAATGTGTCATTCCCTTTAAAATAAAATGTCCTTGTATTGCTGCTTTGAGCATGCTCTTAGCTGGCTTCACTTACAGTTGTTGACAACATATATCTCCTGTTCCTATAGAGATTTAAGGCACTTATTGCAAGTCACTAAAATGCCTGCCAAACCAATGTAACACAATGTTAAAAAAAAAAAAGTAATGTATTTCATTGCAGCATATTATAAGGTGTTTCCAAAATGTTTCCTTTCAATAAGGTGCTCTATAGAAGTGCATCTTAGTACTGCCTGAAAAGTGCCACAAACCAATTTTAGTGGTGTTTATTGCAGGGCTATTGTGTTGCATTGCATTACATCATACAGGTGTTTTTATTTTTCTGGCCACTCAGTAAATACCTTCCACTTTGTATAAAAAAAGGGTTTAGATTTAATAGGCCGATTTGATTTCTCATTTTAAATCTTTTCCTCAGATATTTGTCAATATCTCACATGGTGCTGTGCGTTAATGTGATAGTCTTGGCAGTCTACGTGCTGCTGAGGTGGTTCATTAAGACTCCAGACACCTTATGACTCCACACGCTCACGCTCTCAGCTGAGCTTGGCAGGTTCGAGCAAGTCCTTCACGCCAAGATGCTACGAATGCAGCAATCAACAACCATGTGTGTTTGTCAGTCAAACTTTGCATGCTTTGATATGGATTCATGGATGGATGATAGATAGATAGATTAAATTATTATCGCTCTGACTGAGGACTATACCTTCATGGTGCTGATTACACACTCTGCACCTCTGTGAGCGATGGACTGACTACTCCTCATTGTCAGGCAGGGGAAATCGGCCAGCTCCGTACCCATTAGTAAAACAATGGAAGAACGATGGCGTTCCCATAGCGGGTATCAACCGCTCAGGTTCTGCTGGAAGAACCTTGTCTGATAACCCGTGCTTGAGAAGAGGTGTCACACGGCATGCGTGAAGGGTAATAATTATCTGCTTGGGTTCCTTCAAGGCTTAGTGCAATTTAGGATCATTATTCAAAGCCTCAGGGTAATAAATACAGGTATTATGCTCACGTCCATTTGATATGCCAGCTTTCTGTTCAGTAGAATATCACTGGGGACAAGATGTATCTCAAAAACTGCTCTTCCTCTTTGTGCAGTGTCACCCTGACTCCCATTGTTGACTGTCATTCATTGTAATTTTCAAAATGTTCATAAATGTTTCATAAATGTTGTAAGAAAATAAGAATATGCGTTCGACATTGTTGCAGTGTTGATGGTAGTGGTGGTAAAACGGTGAGCTGATGAATTTGATTAAATCCTCAGTTTCAAGTTCAGAGCATGTTGCTGTGCACAACTGCCGCTGGCTAAATACAGCATGAAGAGAGGACTGAGAGGAGCACTGACAACATGAAACGTGATTCCATGTTCACTATGTGTGTGTATTTATAAATTAGTGTGTAGGAGAACGCATGAGAGGAAAATATTTGATTTAGTAATCCAGGACCTGTTGCATCTCATGAGGTCCGTTTCTCCTTATCACTCCCACTGCACCAAACAGACCTCCCAGACACCCCTCGCCCACCATCCACTGGGAGCCTGTAGGAGTTCAAACCCTAAACCTTTGTTCATAGTCTTCATAACATCATGTGTACAGAGCCAAATGTCATGCCCCTCTGATCCTGACATGTGAAGAAAACTTGAAATATACATATATTTTTTTTGTTCCTTAAAATCCTCAGAGCAAATGAAATATATTAGCTCTACCACATTATCATTTCCTGCTGAAAAATCTAAAATCCTAATTTTGCAGATAGACCATTTGCTTTTTATTGGTTCCATCTGGGGTTTTTATTAACTTTTTCCTCATCTGCTGTTTCCATTTTGTTAATAATCTTACATTTACTTGATCTTGGATATCCATCTCAAGGAATAGGGCTGCAACAAATGGTTATTTTCATTAATCAACCTGCCTCCTATTTTCTGGATTTAACATTTTGGTCTAAAATGTCTTCAGATAGCTTGTTTTGTTGGGCCCACAGTCCAAAACCCGAAGATATTCAATTTACTATCACAGAGGACCAAGAAAACTAAACATTCAGCAAATATGATAAAAAATGACTTAAATACTAATATAAAGAAAATTGAGGGTTATTTTTCTATTGATCAGCCAACTGATTAATCAACAGTGTAATGAACAAAACAATACAAACAACAAAGGAGGACACTTCTATCACATAACAAAGTCAGACAAGATGATTTGCTAGTGATATGAAGTTAAAGCTAATTACACTGTTCTCAAACCAACATCTGGCAACACTGTTAGATGTGATTTTCAAAGCAACTCATCGTAACATGAAAGTAACTTATGGAAACATGAAGACTTCCAAAGAGGCTGGAAAAGAAGAGCTGTCAGAGTTACCTGCATCAGTCCACCAAATGAAGATTTACACCATTAAATTTCCACCAGAGTTTTTGGTATTAATGGCTATTTGAAATGAGTTTCTATTCAAGGCCATCACAGCACAATGACAAAACCTGGACTTATGTCGAACGAGCTCTGGCAGAAGTAAAAATGTGTCTTTAACCCGAATGTTTTATGGGGATTTCTACTGGAAGTCATTATAGGTTCAATGATTACGTTTTAATGTCATATAACTGCAAAAGGAACACAAGACCTTTAGGTTATACAGGAGCAGGTGCAAACACATGATGCCTCCATATTCAAAGCTGATAATTACCGTATGCACACTGATGAATACATTCAAGAACAGTGCAAACTGTGCAAGAACATCAGGATGAAATCATCTTCCAGTCACCAGATGTAAATATCACTGAAATGTCATGGGAGATGTCAGATGTTTCTTTAAATCTGTCACCATCCTCCAAATGAAGCGATTTTTGCCACAGGCAGGGATTTTCTTTTGTTTCATTTAACAAGTTTATTGTGTAGAGGGTCAGCAGGTGCCATGTTTGTGCGTGTGTGTGTGTGGCTGCATGTCACGTGTTCTCTCCTCTCCTCTCCTCTCCTCTCCTCTCCTCTCCTCTCCTCTCCTCTCATCTCTCCTCTCCTCTCTTACTGTGTGCTTGGAGTTTCTCCCTGCCTGACTGCCTTCCTGCTTGCCAGGCAGCAGACAAACATTTTCCCTGGATCTGCCACTCTCACTTAGCATCCATCTGGGTTTTTTTTCCCAATGAGGTGATTGGCAGCGGGGGCAAGCATTAGCATTTCCTCATCTTGGCATAGAGACACTAACAGGCAAGGATAGTGGCAAAGGATGTGCCTTGAATACTGAGCAACAGCCTCACTCTCTCAGCGAGGCACAAAAGAAAGAATCTTTTGTATAAAGGAAGTATATCAAGAGGGTTTCTTCTTTGTTTTGTAACTGGATTACAGTGTTTCCAGCTCATCTGCACAACTTTAAACCTGCATAGTCAGTTAAGGTCATTCAGTTTTCATATTTTTGTTTTATTCCATGACCTATGCAAAACTTTAATGTGCTCAAGACCCCTCATAACGATAACAAAAGTGCAGTCTCAGTGCTTAAGTCGATAGATAGTTTTCTCTGTTGTGCTGTAGCAAAATTCACCCAGCTTGGTCTTTCCTGGCTTCTGATTCAGTTATTACTTGCTAGATTTTAAGTAACATCTCAGAGCCAGGATCTCAAAGTATGCAGCTTGGATTTTCATCAGTATCCTTAAATGGACTCATTTCTTCGCCCTATTCTGTCCATAAATATGTGGTGAGCCTTGGTACAGATAAAAAGGTAATCCACATGCACTGTCTGCCAAGAAGCTATTTCTTGCTCTGAGCAGAATAGAACATGGTGTAACAAAAACATCCTGCTGTAATTTCTCTTAGAGGGATTGCAGTGCTTGGAAAATAACCTATATCTGTATGAACACTAATACCGACAGTCCGTGTTCCTCTGTAGAAGGGGTGATAATATCTTCCCCCTCTTGTAAAATTGCCTGATAGAGCATCAAACATACGATACACATGCTCCATCATGTGTTAATGGAGATTGAAAACATGTATTTTGAAGCGCACAAGACAGTACAGTATAGCTTCTAATCTGTTTCACAAGACTTATAATGAACAATAATGTGGTCTTCTCAGATGTGAGTGTCAGTGGTGCACACTGAAGACTAAATTCCAATCGGGTCTGGCAGGCTTTCAACAGAGGTCTCCAGTTTGACATCACACAAACCAAACATGATCTGATGTGCTATCAGTTTTACTTCCATGACGCAAATATAATCTGCTATAGGAGAGCAGTGAGTTTTAGCACCCTGAGAAAGGGTAGTTTGAGTTTTGTATTTCATATTGAATGCTTTTATTTTTACATCTGAAACAGCTGAAATAATTAGGTGAATATTTAGTGGATTCACAGAAAATCAGGAGCGGTTTTGAATATCAATTAATCATTTTATTAACCTAACAAACATTTCCTGATTCTAGTTTTTTAAATGTGAATATTTGCTGCTGTTAGCTTTCTTCTTGATAGTAAATCTTCGCATTCGCGACTGTTATGAAAGATGTCACCTTGGGATCTGTCTTTCTTGCATATTCAGGTACACTACAGGTGACAGCATTTGGGCCCTTCTGGCCAATTGAAGAGCTATTATATACTTAAAAACACCAACACAGATTAGTCAAGTCAGTTTTATTTATGTCCCAAAATCACGAATAACAAATTTGCCTCAAAGGGCTATACAATCTGTACGACATAGGACACCTTCTATCCTTAGACTCTCAGTTCAGACAAGGAAAAAGTCCCACCAAAAAACATTTAACAACTTGAAAATGAAGCGAATCATGTAAGTGCTTTGAAGCCTCCCTCCAAACAACATTGAAAAGACCCCTGCTTTTCATTAAGACATTTTAATTGGCTGTGAACTAATTATGTCATCCCCTCACAGGTGGCCACGGCAGATGGCATCGTCCAACGGCCTGTGTCGATATGGGGCCAGGGTGGACTGCTGCTGGGGATGGACACGTCGTTCCTGGGGTCACTGCCAGCGTGAGTGCCACCATGCCTGCTGCTGCTGCTGGGGGGCGAACAGGGCTAACAAGGTTGCAAGGTTTCAAGCTGGGGTCAAAGATGCTATTAGACAGAGGAGACGCTGTAACACTACTGGAGGCTCAGGGAAACACACATACACACACACACACACACACACACACACACACACACACACACACAGTCATGCACGTTGTCACAACAGAAGCACATACAGATAGCTAATGGAGCATCACTCACACCTGGGACAATCTTTGAGTAAAGATTGATGGTGATGGCTGGTTGGACCGGAGAACCGGCTGACATTTATATTCACGCTGCGGGTGGCCATAATGAGGGAGAGACTGTAGCTGCAGGTGGATACATTCAAGGGTAGATAGGAGATTGATTATAGATTACTACTACAAAAACAAACTAGCTAAGACTGCCAGAACAAAGAAAATCACGAACACAGTCCATGGCGTTGTCAGGTGTGCAGACCTCAACTCATCTGTATATTCAGCAGCACCGCTTAAAAGATTCAGAGGATGTGTCCTGTCACTACCACACGCCTGTGTCAGATGAACTGTGTGAAATATTAACACGTAACATTTCTGACATATTTACATTGTGTAAAGATCCTCTGCTCTCCTGTAATGCACCCAGAGAGGTGTGAATATACTAACATGGGTTTCAAATCTGGCCAGTTGCCTCACAAATGTCAGATCCTCTGCTTGGCTTGGTGTCTGTGCTGGTATAGCTGCTGCTTTGCTGTGGAGGTTTAATCAAGAAGGGGGTAACACATAAGAAGGATTTTCTACAGCAGGAACTAAGCAATCCACAATTTGAAGGAATAGTTAGACATTTTGTGAAATATACTTCTTCCTTTCCTTGGCAAGAGTTAGATGAGAAAATCAATAGGACTCTTATATCTGTCTGTTGAATGAGAAGCTACAGCCAGCAGTCAATTAGCTTAGCATAAAGCTAATCAACAGTTGGGAAACCAGCCAAAGTCTAAAGCTGGAGCTACACTAAAACTTAACCAAAAAAGATATTAGCTCAGTGAGCTTCAGAGGGGGTGGTAGGTAGATTTTTTTTTAACCTTTGGACGGAGCATTGGCTAGCTGTTTTCAGTCTTTATTCTAAGCTAAGTTAATTGGCTGCTAGCAGTAGATTCATACTTAGCATATGGATAATAGTGGTATCAATCTTCTCGTCTAGCTCTCGTCAAGAAAGCAATAAAGTGTACTGTATTTCTTTTAAAACTATTCCTTTGAAGTGGAGCCATTGTTGCAGGTTCTGATATGGTTTCCACGGTTCTCTGCCTGCTTTAGGCACACGTTCCTAAAACTAAAACTCAGCTCTGCTCAGAGGTGATACTAAATCCGAGTTCTAGAGACTGCAAGGGGTGGGAGGCAGTGCCGTCAGTTGTGATTAGTAAAGCCAGTGTGTCATCACATCCCAACAAAGTACGAATACAACAAACACCAGAACACGGCAGTAACCAGCAACCACTTATAGGACCACTTGTTGAACCAATGTGGGGAAGATGTATTGTTTGTCATTGATTTATTTTCTTTTTTTTTTTTTTTTAATTGATCCTTTAATTTATCTCACTTCTTTCTGACATTTCCTCTTTTTGAGTTCTTTGCCTTTTTGTTGGCATATAATTTTACACACTCAATAGCGCCATATTCTACTTTTGTTTGTCCCACAACTGCACTTCCCTAACAAATGGCAAAATATTAATGTCTGTCACCTTTTCAAAGCGCTTTTGCCTTTTCAGTGAAGCATATCTAAAATGCCCCAGTTAGTTAGACAGTGGAAACACTAAGCAGTAGGTAACACCAAAGCCTTACAGATTCTTAAAAGTTGAGGTTACTGGAAGCTCTTAGGTTGTGGGTTGTTAAGTTTCTGCTGTGCAAAATACCTAAATGTTCATAACTGTGCATGTTGGCTCTGGCCACATATTTGTAGCTTGTTTAAATAATAATGTTTATTAATTCCACTCATTTTGTGTTTTTCATTGCTGAAATTACCATATTTTGATTTATGTTTGTATGTTTTGAAGCCCATCATGCTATACTGTAGCTCACCTTTTTGTTGTATTTTGTATATTTTCTATGACAAATATGTCACACACTGCTGCTTGGGTCCAAAGGTCTGTGCTACTGCAGCTAAAAGATTGCAGAATTTGTAAGGTTTTGAAGCTATTTTTCACTTCAATTTCATGTAAAAGTGGCAGAATGCCATCTTTTTGCTTGATGTTGTGGAGCGTACTGCAATATTTCTTATTTTGCTGTGGAGAACACAAACAGCATTACTTGAGTTCATGGCCCCAGCTTTTGTATTCTTACAGCCCAGCCAGATTAACCTAAGGTCATTGCAAGACAAATCTGCTTTTTATCCACCTCTCGCTTCATGTCTATTAGAAACAAAATATGATAATATTATTCTTATATAAACACTTAGAGTCAGAAGAACTACTTATGCTAGTGGTTTATGGGACAGACCTGGACTTGTAGCTTGAGGGGGGTGGATTTCACAGTTCATGTAAATGAGTGTTTTTTTTTAAATAATAGATGACCTTGTTCAAAAATCTCCTACCTTTTCCCAAGGCCTTGACACTTGAACTTGAACTACACAATCTGTACTGTATTGATTTAGGCAAAAGAACCACTGTTTAACTCAGACAGCTCCATTGTATCATTTGATAGTGTTTGTTTGAACATGGGGCCAGACTTCACAGTAATCCTGGCAGGAGTCAGTCGTCTCAATGCCCAATACCTCCCAGTGCATCTGTTCTGGGCTCTCTGCCTTTACCCATTCCCATGTTCATAATATTCAAGGTGGAATAGATGTTAGATTTGAATAAGGACGAGAAAGAAGAAGATTACTTCATGATCACAGAAGCTTAGATTAGGGGGTAAGACATGACTCATGTGCTCATATTTTACCCAATTGAAACCCAAACATGAATGTGCCATAGCCCGTAGCTTAGTTACGGTTCTACAAGACAAAACATTCATTGTTTTGGCTCTAGAAATCAAGAGCGATGATAAATCATATGTGACATTTATATAATGATAAATTAAGCACAGTCACATTTTAATAGTCACTTTTCAATCAATTAATCAATCACTTGACCAGCCAAACAGCAGTGTGTTGACATGTTCTCTTTGTTGTTCTGGAGTCCCACGTGTTCCATTTAAGCCAGAAATATGAGCTTATTTTGAGCTTAACCACCACATCAAGCTGCTACTGTACTTTCACTCCACCACTTTATTTTTTTTTCCAACAAAACCATGTCAGTTCTGTGAGTTAAATCACTCAGTGAGTGCCTGCCTTAATGCTTCCAAATGCTCCTGACTGGGTGCACAGCTCAAATCATTCACTTGAGACTACAATCAGTATTCCATCAAGTCAGTAAGGTGCTGATTTAAACCTTAGAGGAGGGAGGTGGAGGGTTTGTGAAAGAAAGGAAGTGTGTAATCATGGGTATGTGTGTATGTGTGTTTGTGTGTGTGTGTGTGTGTGTGTGTGTGTGTGTGTGTGTGTGTGTGTGTGTGTGTGTGTGTGTGTGTGTGTGTGTGTGTGTGTGCTCCTTTGTCTGAATGTGGGTGAGAGGATGCAGTCATTACAGATTCCGGGTCTTGGTAAGTTTTTGTGGCGATAGAAGAGATTAGATTGGAGCTATCGGATTGTTGCTTTCTCAGCCACGGAGCTCAGCGATTGGTTTGTGCAACTTCACCCAAAGAATGAGAAACTTAATGGATCAGCCTTGAAGCTCCCAGAAAAATAAGAGTGAGGAAAGGAGGAGAGAAAGGACTGAAAGTTGGAGAAAGTAAAATCCTGGTGTAAGGTGTATGGAAAATGCTTAAGAGGTAAGGAGTTAGAGTTGATTGCTGCTGGAGTAGAGGAGAGATGTCAGGAGAAGGAGACAAGTGAGAAAATCAGGCAGATGGAGAAAGAGAGAGAGAGGGAGCTTTAGATTTATAGTAAACTGAAGCTCCACTTATAATGTTCTGACAGGCCATCCGGCAGGCAGAGCCACACTTGAAGCTACTTATTCTAACCAGCTGCCATCATGAACATTTTACTGCCACTGAGAGCATTTGAACATTTGTTCAGCAATTGCATATCTAATTGTGTTTCCAGTGTAATACAGTTTACAGTAATCACACTGAAAATACTTTTGATCTCTTCCACTCTTGATGAAGATGGAAAACGGTCTAATCAACAGGTTGATCCCACTGGTGTTAGTATGCAAATTATCCACTCAGTCAGTCAGGTTATACAAGATCTGTGAGGTTGTAAAAGAGACTTGAAGACTTTCATTTGAAGCTAATTTCATCCGTATTAGATGTTCTGAAAAGCTTTTGCTACAGAAATCATGAAGACAGATGTTCGTAAGACAACTTTAGGGACTGACTAAAGAATTTAAGATTATACAGCTCAACATTCATCTGAATTAAGTTCATATTGGACAGTTCTGCACCTCACTTCACGATTATATCCAGTGCCAACATTTAGCATCGATGCCCATATGTAGCAAAGTGGAGGGTAAGGGTGTGAAAGATGGGGTGGTGGATTCATCATGGTTTAGGATTAGCATCCTAGAGGGTACTTTACCACATTTTGTCCACTGGAAGGGCACCCTGGAGGGCACTTTATCATGTTTTATCTACCATAGGGGCAGAATTGTCTAATATCAACGTTCTTGTCTGGAGATATTGTTGGATTATATTCAATAATACTGAGACTGTAGTCACAAAAAGACCTAAACCTTGATTTGGACTTACCTGACAGATGGCTCCCTAAAAGCTTGACTTGACATTTGAAATAAAAAAGACTTAAGATTCAAGTCTCAGGATTTGACCAGGTAATATGCTGGAACAGTAACATAGTAACTACCAGGCCTTGTTTAGCCACACGGCTTGAATATTTAATTTTTATGCATATGGATTGAGAGAAACAGAATAAACACCACTATTCACGCAACTTTGAAAGACAAAGAATCAAATGCTGTGACATTTTAATGATTGGCATTCAAAGACATGAAAGGACAGGACTTAAAAACATCTCTGCTAGAAAGACATACATTTTATTTTCCCTGGATTCTGAAGTAACTGGGTTGAATATCACCTCCATATTAAATAGATCACACATTATACTTTCCTTAGAGGTCCTGGTGGATTTTACAAATCCATTGAGGCAGGGATTTAGTTTGATTGAGTGCAGTCTTTGTTTCGACAAATGGTGTGGACAGGATTAAGACAGGACTTTTGAATTGGTAATTTGAGCTAACAAGTGAGTGATGAAAGCAGAAAAGGGATATCTCTGTTTAAGTAATTTACTTTATCATGATTGTCTGCACAGTTTCCTTGTCTGCTCTACTTTCTTTCATGATCACTGGGCTGTAAAGCCTCGGCTAAAAGTGTACCTTTTCATTTGCTTGAGGTAATAAGGCGAAAACAAAATGGAGGGGTTGGCTTGTAAAAATTAGAGAGAATACATGCAAAAATAAAAGGCACAATTACTTGACATAATTCTGACTTTAAACTTAAAACGGTGCTGGTTTAAAAATCAAATGTCTTATTCTGTTCACAGTCAGGTAGCTGAAGCATGTGTTTTTGTGGGAAACCAGGACTGTGATCTCACTGTATGATACTGGTGATGTGTTTGGCTTTCAGCGCAGCGATCTAATTTTAAGAGAGAATCATTTTATTGTTTCACAGTGTGTGAGGGAAAACTGCTTTATTCTCTTCCATTTAGATGTGAGTGATAATGAATATGTTGTTAACATTCTCTGAAATAAGAGAACATCCCTGGGGACTGTGGGTTTTATTTGGACATCATTTTAATTATTAAAACTCAATTGTAAATGCATTCAAAATGTACCTATTACCTAGAGGCAACTCGGAATATGTGTGACTCCAGAACTTCTGTGACTGTGTATGCCTGTGTGTGGAGGTTTTTCTTTTGTCATTTTTTTGCAGGAATGTTTGCTTGTCAAAATGCAGGCTCTGCCCTCTAACATCATGTTTATTTATTTTTTTCCTCTCAAAGACTTAGCAATGCCCGCAACCCTTTGTTTGTTTGGCTATTTGTTTTGCAGCTCTCTTCGCCTTAACTCACAGAGTAGCCGGGATAAGGTGCCAGCCCCAAGGTTAGCTCCACATGTTTCTTGAAATAATCTTGCTAGACATGTATTGCTGGGGGCACATCCTCTGAATCCTGGGCTCACTCACTTATTTATAGAGTCAAACCCACTTCCCCCCCGTCACCCCACTCACCACCACTAACCCCTCACGCCCCTTGGCAGTGGCCGTCTTCTTCCCTCTGGCCTCAGATCTATGCAAACAGCTTATACTCTGTAGACCTGATTTCACCTGAAGCCATGTCTAACATGAATTATGCTGAAGTTCTTCAGTGTCTCATTAAGATTCAACTGCCCCTCCAGTCGACCCCTTAGAATACTAATGAAACCCTTCAAGCTGAAATCCATAATGTTTTTTAATTGATCTATCAGTAATTTATCCATCTGTGTGGTGCAGAGTAAAAACTGAGTATTTACTGTGGTTGGAGATGCTCTGCATACGTAATATACATAGAAATCTTGATCGGGTCAGTCAGGTGGAGAATGCCAATGCCCTCATATTTCATCACTTAGGTAAACAATATATTCATCATGACAAATAAGCAATTTCAAGATGTCACCTTGGTCTCTGGGAACTCTTTTATTTTCAACCTTTTATTCGGCATTTCATTTATCAGAAAAACAATCAGCAAATCCACCGATAATGAAATAATCGTTACAAGCAGCCTTAAGTAATTACTTAGTTGATTGCAAGATGATGCAACTTGTAATCAGCTAAGTAATGATTTTTCCATCTTACTTTGATGAAGTAAGGTATTCCACTAGTATACAAATTTCATACATAATGTCCATATCAATTAAAAAATAATTCTTTCCTTTGTGTTTACCGTCAGGCATCCATGAACAGTCAATAAATCAAAAGAATCTGCATACCAGCAGAATGCTGTCCAGAGGAATGGCTGATGTAAACCAGAGTGAAAGTGTGTCATCACTCGGCATGTTTTGATGGTGTTCATGGAACGAGGGTCATACATGCTATGTTTGGCCTTCCAGCTGGTACCACCATTTTTAGTCCTACGTGTCCTCTGCTGTGGTTAATGAACACTGCCCGTTTCCCTGATCTCTCTGCCAGGCCAGAGGCTTAAAAATACCCTCAGAGGCAAAGCCTGTTGATGGCCGCCTCTGATCCCGCTAATAAAATCCTCCCTCATGTTGGAGAATAACAAAAAGCACTCCACTTGACTACCCTCTAACTAACAACATCAGAAGCTTCTTTCATTTTATCTGCTCACAAGACCAAGGTCTAATAAACTTCTACTTCCAGAAAAGTACTTTTCCTCCAACAAATTGGGGAGTTTTTAATTTGTAATTGTGAACGTTGACTGCTCAGTGTGTTAACACCCTGGCTCATATCACAGGCCTCTCCAAGTTGGCTAACAATACTTTCTTTCTATTTGATTACATAGCCTAATAAAGTGGAATGAGTCTGGAGATGTTATCGACTCCAGTTAAAGGATTCATCACATACCTTTGTGCCTTTGAATTCAGCTTGAACAATGTTACAGACTGAAACCTGAGCACCTAAAGTTGTTTTTGCTGGATAGCTCTGCAGCTCTGCAAGCTGAATGAGTATGAATGGAAATTTCAAATGTTTCTTCTTCAGTTCAAGTCGATGTCCCTCAGTGTGCATTAAAGCAGCTTTCACCTCATATCTAGCATTCATAAAAATCATAAAAACTGGAGGCACTTACAGGGTGAATACCTCTACCTGCCCAATTCAATGCAACATATCCAATGCAAACAAAACACCATCAATTGTATACTGTATATCATATAAATGTAGTTGTAAATGCACTGTGTGGTCAAGTGTTTATGGCAGTTTGTTTAATATAGACCTCAGAATACAGCAGTGCTGGGCAGCTTCATTCAAATATCTTGTGTACCAAAATTTGGTGAAAATTGAAATGGAGGGATGAAAAGGCAGACAAAATTTTAAAATGACCAAAAATCTATTCAGACCCTGATGAATGTTGCTTCTACTGATAGATGAAACCAAGTACACAGAAAATGTGACATCACCTCACAATTTAAAACGCAACCGCCCACTGTAATTTCAATGAGAGCACTGCGTTGGCACAGTTGGCATGGCCCGTCAAATACTGTATGTGAAAAGCACATTGTTGGTAAATATCTTTGTAATGTAAACAGTGTGATTCTACTATTGTACCGTGTAAACACGGAGACAAAGGATAGCTTTCTAGAATCTGTCTTATAGTATTATAAACAGCTGTGCAGTGTTTAGACCTCTGATAAGCAACCAAAATTATGTATGTATTACCTGGATCCTTTTTCATCTTCTCACTGGTATCTGGAACAACATGAACACTACTTCTTGCATTTCTTTTAATGCAGTGCTATTTTTGGTCTGAACGTTAACCTGTTCGTCTTTTAGCCTATCACAACTTTGCCCCACATTTAACTGAAATCTGTTAAGTATGGTGGTCCTGATATCCAAATGCACTGGAAATCAAGAAAACACATGCAAACAGACAATACACAAGTACAAAAAAACATCATGACAATTTGACAACATGTGCTCAGCATTTAGAAAAAAATGCTGCTAATTGAGAACATACAACCAAATATAGAGATGCCACAAGCAGCACATACGACAACTCAAAAATGGTGAACGAGCTGCACGCAGAAGGTTGTTTAGATGTAATATGTATGTGATCACAGACACAACAATATAGTAAACTCTACAGCTGTATTGCCACAAATAAACCTCCACCATCACACCTACACAGGAAGCACTCTCCACTACAATCTCTCTTTCTCAAACACACACACACACACACACACACGCACACACGTATGTACTGCCTCTTCCACCACAGTGATAATTAAGTCCTCTGATTGCACTGTATTATGACAGAATTAATGAAGCTTTTAATGAAAATTAGTAACACTTGGCTGAGGCCCAGTGTATCCGACATGCTTAGCAGCAAGCTGCAGTAAGCATAGTCAGATAAGCAGGGCAAGCCTCCAGCTCACTGAGACAGAACACAGAGAGTCAGTGAAGCTGTGCAGCTGCAGCGACTACCACGTCTCTGTACGCACTCAAAATATCACCATCCACGCACTATGTACGATCTGCAGGGCAGCTCTTTACTGACGCACTAATTATAATCTACTGTTTTGGTGCTCTAATTGTTTCAGCTTCAGTCTAGGGGGAAAATAATGTTCGCCTAGGTAATCCTCGTTGGCTGGATGCCAGTATAAAGCACTGCATTTTAAAACCAGGAAAATCAAAACTTAGCTTTGTGTTAAAAGGTCAAACTTCTCATTTATCTCACACAGTGTGAAATGATTTAATATTAGTAAGGACAATAAAACTTCCAAGATCCAGTTTGGTTCAATGTGAAATAAATGCTATAGTGGTTAGCTGAATATGGCTGCTCCATTATCATTAGTCAATGATAATAGCACTGTCATACAAGGAGAAAGAAACAAACACATTTCCCATATGAATGAGGCATCAGGCTGTCTTATTGCTGTAATGTGGAGTAAACAGATAATTTACAGCCAAGTCAAGGAGCAGTAGGATTAAGTGCTTTGTCATCCTGATCTTGTACAAGAAGTCTTCCAGGGCGCTGCACTGATCTGTCTCTTCCTCTTTGAATCCTCCCTGAATAGCTCTGTGTCAGCCTGGCTGTAAGCACGGAGACTGCGTGGGACCCAATAAATGCAAGTGCCACCCCGGCTTCACCGGCAAGACCTGCAATCAAGGTGAGCTCTCGTCTAGAACTTGTAGACACTATAAAAACACAGCTGTGACTTTTGCAGTTGCACGTGACTGTTTTATTTGTCGTAGGGCACTGAAATTGAAACGTAAAGGAAGAGGGAGAGTCAGAATATATGTTCCTCCTGATCACTCATGACTCAAACACTCCCTCAAGCAACACACAAGCCTGCTGACATGCCCCTGCTGACGGCAGGGTAATCATTGTTTATTGTGGCCAGATCTCCAACCTCACAACACCAGTGTATTAAAGTTGCCGCTTACTCATGGAGCGGAAGCTGGTTTGCAAGCAGCCGACAGTAGTGAGGTGCTTTAATCACAAGAGGAGGAGGTTAAGAGAGAGAGAGCTGATTCAGCTCAAATGGAAACGAGTGGTGAGGCCATGTTGAATGATCCCGGGAGTGTATCCTCTCCTGTGAAGATAACATCTCAATTACTGACCTGAGATAACTTGGCTCGGCTGAGTGCAACCAACGCTATTGAAAGTGTGTTTGTGTGTGTGTGTGTGTGTGTGTGTGTGTTGATGTTTGAGTTTTTGTGTATTTTCATCACTGACTGACAGATTGGACATGTTGAAAAGTATTAAAGCTTCCTAGTTAGACGTAAGCTGATGTGCATCCAAGCAGCTTGAAAATACTTGTGGAATTCACGCCCTAAGACAGGAATAGGAGAGTGTGTAATTAAAAACAAGGGTTGGGGTGGTGGAGGAACGAGGGGGGTGGGGGTGTTGAAATCCTTTCCGGAATGTTCCAAATGACTCATCCTGCATTTCGAGGCTATAGGTGGCTCCTGTCTGCCCGGCCAGACGGCTGTACTTTGTCTTAATCTGCAACAAAGGGGAGAGGAAAAAGGATCTGTGTCCCATATCCAACTACAATAGACTTTGTTGCCAACCATTCAGACTGACTTATCTGACAAATGCGATTCCAAGACCTTTCAAGATGAAACTGTACTTTTAAGCGTCCATCGAACCCCCATTTGTCCAATAAGCTCTAGATGTTTTTTTTTTTTACAGAGCTCCCCATTTTACTCAGCTTTGAGTGGCAGACTTGCCCTTTCAGTCTCTTTAGGTGGAGATAACCTTGGATTCTGTTTTGAGCTGGCACAAGCTATGGAAACCAATTTAATTATTCAGAAGCTATAGATTAGATTTTCTCATTTAAATGCAGCCTCTGTTAAACATTGATTTGAGGTTTACTATTGATGTGCCAGGTGGCCCATGTTTCGAAGCATTCTAATATCCTGTCCCCCTGAAGCACTACATTTATCTTGAGGAGTCAACAGGAGGAGTGAAATAATTTGCCCAGAGATGCTTCCCTGACCTCCATGCTGCTAAAGGTCAAGTAGTTACCCTCATGCACTGTATAACATTATACAGCAATTTAGCGGAATCAGCTAATCTATTATAAATAGCTTCATTTAAATATATAGGTTTTATTAATTTGAAGTTAATTGAACTTGACGGATGTTCTGCTGAGAGTTCACTACATTTATTAAAGGTGCTGTATACCACTTAAAGACTAAATGTCTCACTACAGCTCCAGCATCTCAGACCAAAACAAATGTTTAAATGCTATGGCCTATCAGACTGCATTGACGAAAACACTACCTCGCAAATCAATAATAGCCATGAAACAGGCTGCCATGGTGGTACATAAAGCCCTGGACATACGGGCCATGTCTGCAGCGCACGTGCGTAACGGAACGTCTTGCTTTTTATTTCACTGCCCATGTTAACAGGCCACACCGCCCGTCTGAGCTGTGAGGCTGCAGCAACGCTTCCCTGGAGAGATGAGGTCTGGCCAATTTCTTCTGCGAGCCGAGTGCAGTTCCCAGCAAAAAATAGACAGTAAAAAGGATCTGTTCACAGTCATATCGACATTATACCAGCAAAATATACACCTTTCACCACAGTTTTAGTTTCCATATCCCCGGTATTCCTTTCAGAATAACACCCGTTTAACAACACCACTAAAAGCAAACGTTTCTTTGGACAGAATCCATTTATTTGATTCTTTTTGTTTCACCAGAGTCCTTGTATCAAATATAATTTAATTTAGCAAATCATTGAAAAAAAAAACCCACTTCACTCCAAAACCTTAATTCAGTTCAGCAGTTTCAGTCACCCTCCTCAAAGCTAACAATTGCACACAGAGTGATTCACATGCTCTAAAATGCATGCATGGCCGAACCGGAGAGGTAAACAATGCTGGGGGATCAAGCACAGGGAGAGGGAGTGTGATGTCATTAATGGTAGCATGGTATCCAATTCAGTACTCTTCCCACTGAGTATTCAGATTTAGGTCAGTCAACTCTTACTTTTTAGGGCAGCAGGGAAACTTGTGTTTTTAAATTGTTTTACATTTTAAATCACCATATGATCTATAAATTGTGTGCATGATGATTTTTGGACACTTAATGCGTAGTAAGTGCAACATTAAAATATTATAATGAAGCCTTACTGTATATAAACCTGCATGTGCAAAGAAATAATTTGCATGCACACACAAATGGACACACATTCCTTTGCTCTAAGTGGGAGGTGTGGATAGATTTGTGACCCTGGAAGGTGCTCTGATTAACAAGAGTGTTAAACACCTTAGGAACACCGGTTGTATGAAGTGAAAACAAACCACAGAGGAAGCATGAGTGTTTACACTAAACACAGGCATGGGCGATACTGTACTGTATTGATTTCATCACTGCCAGAATCAAAGCCATATTTCCCTCTCTCAAACTTTTATGAGGTGGAACTGATTTGAGAGATTTATACTTCAAGGACTACAAGTCTGTTTTTAGTGCAAGCTCTTTTCAGCCACCAAATAATTTCCCCTTAGTGTTTATTTCACTTTCAAAGCTTTTCCTATACAGGAAAATACCAATACCTGAATGGGATATACTTTGAATGAATCTGATTATATTCACCATTAAATTAAAGGGCACTCAGCTGTCAAGAATAATAACCACTACTTTCCGAATCCCTATCACTCTCATAAAGCTCTTCACCTTTGGTGCTGATGAGAATTGTTTCTGTCATACAGCATGGTGAGGATAGATGAATACGATCTTGCTGCACAAATAAACTCATTATTGCGATAATCTGTTTAACAATTTGGCAACACACTCCCCCTGCTGATCCAATCATTTTAATAAGATGATTATTCCGTGCAGGTGGATTTAATTAGGAGTAGTTGACCTGCTGTTAAGACACTATTAAAAGATTTTGCTGTACGAATGACGTCTCAGACATCAGAAGCAATGGAATACAGCTGCAGTGCCTCCAGATGCTGCTTTCTTCATTTTCCCCTTTGTCTGTCAGCCAACTATATAATTAATGCCACTTCAAGTATGATACTCTTGCACTATAGTTAAAGCAAGTATACCATTTGTTTCTATATCTGTTTTTAGACTATTAGCTAATATCTGGGCCTTTCACTGCTTTATTTTGGCGAAGCCACACAGCTGTCTCCTAATCTTCTAATGAATTTTAATTCAGACTAGGTGCAGATACTTTTAGGTTGTTAGTTTAGAAATCAATCCCTCGCTGTCACTGTTTGTCTTCCTGGATGTCTGCAGTTAATATAAAACAGCTGCAAGTATTTTAAGTATTGCATGCATGTCATCATACTATGTGTATTTTCCTTCAATTATCATCTAATTACTCCAAATTGTGTTTGTTTTGTCTGAGTTCTCTTTTATAACAAGGTCATTAGAGGGGTTTTGAGTAATATTTTACCTTAACTGATAAGCAAGGATGTAGGAACTGAAATAAAATTAAAAGAACTGAAAGAGCCTCCTAACCAACCCATGAGTGGTGATTGTAATAACACAAAAAACACATGGTCACAAATTCACTGTAAAGATGAGTAAACATGTCAGTCACCACCAAGGTTGAACAGAGGCAGCTGGCTAAGTGATTGTTGAGATCAGATCAATACTGTCATCAACCTCCTGCAGAGAGGTTATTTATCATGGAGAACAAACCCTGCCCCATTAAAGGAACCAGTCAACACAAACATACTCCAATAGTAACCTAAGTAGTTAACTCTGTTATGTTTTACTACGGCTGTATTATAATAAAATTCAGTAGATGTACAGCACAGTCAGATTCCGTTAGATAATCATGCAGAATTTATCTCTGGGGGACACACATCCTTATCTTTCAGTGTGATATTATTGAAGTTGAGCTTTTGTGCAAACAATTTAGAAATGCATTGTCAAGGATATGCACGTAAATGGCAACATTTTAAACACCTTTCAATGAAATGCAGTCGAGTACAGCACCACCACTAACAGCGTCCAAAAAGATATGTAGAAAATAAAGTTGCACACAGTCTAAACAAATTAAACATTATAAGCTTATTTTGCAATATATTCCTCGTTTGCTTTTTGTGAGGATTGTTTACCTGCCTGCCTACATTCAGACCCACCCCCACTCAAACTGCTACTGAATGGTTCTCAATTGAGGTTCAGAAAAGATGCTCAATTTGAAACCACCATAATGTTGATGCTTTTATATTGTTGCATGCCTACACACATCTGTATTGAAAGAAAGACAAACTCGTATTAGACAGTGCTGCACTAGTTAGATGATTGTCTCAGTGAGTTATTGCTCTTCGCTACTAAAATGTCTTATACCAATACCCATCCATGGTGCCTATTTGCAGATAAGGCCTGCGACAAGTGTTTCTGTCTTGAGCAGAGTTGGCAAGAATGCAATAGGCTTGCATAACTTCTCAGTTTAAGTTACCACATCCCTCAATAGGGAAAATCTTGAATGATTTGAAGCATGCAAAACAGTCAGAGGTAGCTGTATCACCTTCCTGTTGCTAAACAATAGGTGTTGTTAGCTTGTTGCCGGAGAAAAGCTTGCTGGATGGATAGATCGACAGACAGAGAGGGGAGTGAAATTCTATAGGCTGAAGTGTTTGTAGTCAAGCATTGATTTGCCTCTTTAAATGGTAACTCCGTTCTACCTTTGAACCTC